ATCTGAATCCTGTCAAGGTAAGACAGCCTTTGGATCATAGAGATCTTGGCGTGAGACTCTCTAAGCCTTAAGTACTCAAGATTCTAGAAGAGAAGGTAATGAAGAACAAGAAAACTCAAAGCTTTAACCCCTTCGACCCTTTTGAATCACCTCAACCCATCAACCCAAACGAAACTACTCGCTACTAATAAAAAAAACCGAACAAAACGCAAAAGATGATCTACTAAACATGATTAACGATTGATTAAAGCAAAAGATTCAATATTCAAAGGTTCAAATGCAAGAAAATGGTTAAAGGTTCTACAATGGCGGAATCGCCTAAGCAAGAGAAAGCAAGACGAAAAAAATAAAAGTGAAAGTGTGTGAGAAAGTAGGATCGCCGCCTTCCCAAAGTGGACAAACAGCTCGATGGTCCCCCCTTCGCTAGAAGCCAAAAATTGTTAAAGTAGCATGGGATCGACCTCGAGATCGAGCGCCTCATTCGATCGTCTTCAGGAGTCGCTTGCCTCAGCTCGATCTGTGTCTCGATCTTCTTGGATGGATCGAGTGCTTCGTCCGATCTTGGAGGATCGAGTGGTGGACTCGATCCGGCTCTCGATCTGCATGGCGTCATTTACGTCCATACTCCAAATTGATCTCTTTACTCGATCTCGGTCTCGATCAGTTTCCTTGAATCGGCTGGTACACTCGATCTTCTGGTCGATCTCATCTAGATCGACCTGCCTTGCTCGATCCGCTACTCGATCTCGGGTCCTTAGCTGAGTGGTTGAGTTCTCCAAGCATCCATGAGCTTCCTCACGAGCCTTAGCATGGCCATGGATCCTCCAAAGCTTCAAATATCCGAAAACAACCTGAATGTGATGCATAATGCAATAAATATGCAAATGCTAATACAAAAGTGCTGTAGGACCTAAAATGGTGCAAACTAGCCTAATATGCAAGGTAAATGCATGAGAAACTATCTTATATGCTTGCAAAACACACGAAATATACAGTAATATCATGTTTCTATTCCTTTGTTGTTCTCTAGAGTCTTTACCCTTGCTGCTAAGCTATCGAATTTGTTGGTCAACTCCACATGAACTGATTCAATTTTATTATGAACTTCTGCAAACTTCTTGTTCATATCCAAGGTGGTGTTGACCTAATTCTGAAGCACTTGCTGCATCATACTCTTGAGTTCAAGATCTTGGGAGCTTGAGCTGGTGCTACAGCATTGAATCCTGGAGGGTTGTAGGGCGCTCTTTGCTGGAAGTTGTTGTTCCTCTATTGAAAACCTTGATTGTTGTTGTTGGGAACAAAAGGTCTTGGAGCAGCTTGCTGTTGTTGTTGAGGTGGATACACTTGGTCTTGAGGATTTGCAACATTGTTGCTTCTGTATGATAGGTTGGGATTAGGTCTATAGTTTCCATACCCATTGTAGCCTCCTTGGTTACCAAGATAGTTCATCTCCTCAACTTAGCAAGTCTCTTGATCATCAAGCTGAACCAAGTCACCAACAAAGTTAACTTCCTTCTTCTCCCTTAGCAACATATCCAGCTTCTCATGTAGAGCCTTGATCTCCTTCCTGCTAGATTCTAGCTCATCCTTGGCCCTTCTTGGAGCTCTGTCAAACTCTTCATTATAATTTCCATCAGACTAAGCTAGATTCTCAACAAGCTCTAATCCTTTATCCACATCCTTTGACAAGAAGTTTCCATTCGATGCAGTGTCCAAGAGCATTATTATCTTAGGAAATACTCCTCTGTAAAGAGTAGAGAGCAGAGAGGCTTGTGAGAAGCCATGGTGAGGGTATTGTAGTGTGTAGCCCTTGAATCTTTCACAAGCTTCACCAAAGCTTTCATTGTTCCTCTGTGCAAACCCTGAGATCTCATTCCTTATTTTTGCAGTCCTTGAAGTAGAGATGAACTTTGCTAAGAAGGCGCTCTTGCACTCACCCCAACTAGTGATGCTTCCTTGAGGCAAGTTTTTATCCCACTGGTGAGCTTTATCCCCAAGAGAGAATGGGACCAACCTTAGTTTGAAGCCATCTTCACTTACCCTATTTATCTTGGTTAGAGAGCATAGTCTATCAAAGTTATCCAAGTGATCCAAAGGGTCTTCAAGTGGTAACCCATGGAACTTGCTTCCCTGAACCATTGAGATCAATCCAGATTTAATCTCAAAGTTATTGTTCTGAACTGCTGGAGGAATGATTCCTGTTCTGTTGTTATAAGCATTTAGGGCATCACCAGCTCCTATGGTCTGACTGCTCTTGGAGATTGAGCTGCTCCTCTAGGGCCTTGCTCACCTTGCAAGCCCTAAACTCCTCGCTGACCTTGTAAACCTTGAGCGCCAGCTGCTCCTTGAGGACCCTGGAACCATATATCATCCACAACATGTGGTTCCTGATTGTTCATGCCTAGTCTCTCCAACTGTTGCTGTCTTTCATGCTGTCTTCTCGCTCTCTGACCTCTGTCCAACAGATTGATGTTGTCTATGAAGTCCACTAAGTTACTAGAACCTCTGGATCTTAAGTTCATAAACCTGAGAAACAGCAATGAGAGTCAAGGAAGATAAGTAACCAAAACAAAAGAAACCTGATATTAAAGATTCTACAAACTCTAATGATTCAAACTGTTACCCCAATGGCAACGGCGCCAAATTGATAAAAGAGTTTTCTCTTTTGGTCAATCACCCATTATACAAGCCAGTTGTAGTATTTGGGTTTTTATGTCAATCCAAATGGAGTTAAGTTGAATAACAGAAAAGTTGCAAGGAGAAAGCTCTAAGTCAGGTGAGACAGAGAAGATTGTGTTGCAAAGCAACCAAACTAACAACCTAAGATGATCAAACACCAACAGAACTCAAAGAAAACACTTAGCAATGATCATGTAAAGCAAGAACAGAGAAAATAAACAGAGTAATTGGCAAATTCGAAATTCAATTAAAGAGAGGACAAGCTCCTAGATGTGGTTATTGACTTTGGGGAATTCAAAAGCTAACTAAGGTTTTTTCAAACATCATTGACCAACCAGACAAGCTAGCAATGCTGATTCCTAGACATAGAGTTCACAAACAAGCAAGCTAAGTTCAATCTCTTGACAAATAGCACTTTGCTAAACATCATAACAAGAACTAATTTTCATTAGTGCTAGAACATTCAAAAAGCATGATAAACCAAATCTATTTATGTCAAAATACTCCTCAAACAGTCAATCTCTTGAGCTAAGGCCATTAAATCCTCTATTAACCAAGATCAGCATTTCGTCAAACACTTGGTGGGCATAAAATGGAGCCTAATTCTAGATTCATGAGATCAAGACAAATCTAGCTTAAGAATAGATTAATAAAGAGGAATCAATGTTGTTAAGCAGTAATAAACCTTAGATAAGCTTCTAAATTCTCCTAATCTACCACATCTAGAAACCCTAAGGTAACTACTCACTAATCACCATGTTAAACATCAAATCACAAGGGGAAAAGAAGTTAATCATGATTAGAAAAGAGATTAAGAGGAGATTAGAGGTAAATATAAACTTGGATTAAGCAGAGATAGAACTTGTCTTACAAAAACAGAAAATCAACCAAGAACAGTAAATTCGAAAGATATTTAGTCTAAAAATTCTCAGAACATGTTATTTATACTATAAGACAAATGCCCTAACATAATGGCAAAATGGTAAATAGAAGTATGTTTGGACTGGATCCCATCAATCATAAGTAATCGATAGAGTGATCGATAGGACAGCCATCGTTCTTGGAGGTGATCGATAGGGTGACCGAAATACAACCGATTTGTTTCTATCGGTCATTATCCGGTCGATAGGTTGACCGATACGTCCATTGCATTCCCATCGGTCACTCCTTGACTGATGGTCTGATCAATAGCTCCCTATCGGTCTTGGTTTGATCGATAGCTAGACCGGTGGGACTCCAGAAACATCTTCCTTGACTCCTCTTTCTTCCTCTTGGCTTGGCTAGCCTCCTGATCCACTCCCACACTTACTCCTTGCTCCATTCAGCTCCATAAGAACCTAAAAACACCCTTGATGCTAAGAAATGTAAACCACATCCTAGATGCAACCTAAGTCTAAAACGAGAAGAAAATGGGACTAAAGATAAGGAAAACATGCAAAAGAGAACCAAAACATGCACTAAATGGAAGCCTAAATGATGCAAATATATGAGATATCAGGTGTCTAATCCGAAGAAGTGGCCAGCATTTGCAATATATTTGGAGGATTATGAGATCAATATTAAGGAATTTGTTTCTTTCTCGCTAGATCACATACCGCGCGCACAGACCACTAAGGCGGACAAACTAGCACAGAGTTCGATCATGTCTTCACCATCTAGATTATGTAAACTCAATTCCACCGACCTACCTCACTGAGCCGTTCTAGGAAATTGAGGCTGTTACCAAAAAAAAAAATTAAATAATTATTCATATGATTTTATCAAATTCAATAAAAGTTAAAAGCAAAACTTTAAATTTAATAAGTTCAAATTATTTATAATAACAAATAACAAGAAAATTTAAAAACACTTTAAACGATATAGTAAAGACTATAGTTTCGAGATGTAAATCCACTTTAACCTCATATTCATATAGAAACATAGAACTAAAAAATTATAGTTTCTGATAATTTTTTTAAAAAATTATTCTTTTTAAACAAAGTAATCCTGTAATAAAAATCTCTAAATAAACTATACAATAAATTGTAGGGATTTTCCGGTAACTCCGTGCCCGATCGGGTTTAAGCCCAAAAATTGTTTTTTTAATGCTTAGATTTTATTAAAAAGGGATAAAAATTCCCTTCCGCTGAGAGTAAACGAATACAAGTTCAACAAAGCATTGTGACCGGACAAATACCAACAGGTAGTCTGTCATGTGTTCAGAGAGAAAAAAACAAAGAAAAACAAAAGGAGAAACGTAGGATAGCAACATCACCATTGGAGAAGGTTTTTATGCCTCCACAATCCGCAGAAAGGAGAATTTTACCTGTCACCCATTACTTGACATCCTCCAAGATGGTCTTGTGCAGCCAGAAAGGACCTTGATGAGCCACATAGGATTGATAACGATGATCTCGGGTTACACTTACAGGAATGGCTTGAGCTGCTCTGTTGGCGGTTTCATGAATGATCTAAGCTCCAAAATGCAAATTAACCAAGCAAGCTGAGAATAGAATCAATGATCCTGCTATATTGAGGAAAATTGTTTGGATGAAGTAGTGCCTCTCTTGCTAGCGGAAGTGATCCTTCAAAGATTACGCATGTCTGTTTTAGATGCTTGATGGATTCCACAGATCATATAATGCTAAGAAGCTCTACCTCAAGGAGTGAGGAAATACTGAAAAACACCGCCTACTGTCACACAGAGCTAATCCCTGGTGATCTCTTAGTAACCACGATGCTCCACTGTTTCGTCTCGGATGGATCCATGATACCCCAATGTTGCATTTCCTTTTGTTCAGTGGCGGTTTTATCCACATGGGTGAGGCAATGGGCAAGGTAGGTTGTTGATGGTGTACGGAACTTTCTTTGCAGTTAACATTAGTCCACTCATCAGCCTCATCAAAAGCCTTCACCGTGATTTCACTGGGCGAGAGATTGACATTTTCGAAGACTGTTGCATTCCGAGCCATCCATATTTGCCATAAGATCCAAGAAAAGGCTGCACGTATATCTGGCGGGTTTGTTGTCTTCTTGCTGTGTAAAAGGAGATGATAAATGTTGAGAAATACCGAGGAGGGGGACCATCCATTGGGCAGGAGCGTGAATTGAGAAAGTTCATGTTTCTTTCGCTCTACAACAGGTGAATAGAACATGACAAATGGTTTCAGAAGTATACCCACAGACCCTGCAAGTCGCATCTAAAGGAATACAGCGTGATTGTAGTCTTTCAGCCACAGCCAAAGCATCTGCCAACACCTTCCATAGTCAGTGTTTTATTTTAGGAGATTTATTGATTTTCTAGAGCTGTTTCCATAGTTTTTTTTCTGTAGGTGGCATGATTCGTGTCGGAGAAGATTGAATTTCAAGGAGAGATTCCAGAAATCTATACCCACTCTGTGATTTATATTTGCCAGTCTGGAAAAATCTCCAAATTAGCGTATCTTGGAGATGAAGTGTTGGCTTTATTTTCAGGATTCTGACCACACCATCTTCAGCGAACGTCTAGTGGACCAATTCCACATTCCATCTACTTAGCAGAGGATCAAATAAACCAGAGACCATAAGAGAGAGATTCATCTCACTATCTGGTCGATACACATGAGGTCTAGTTGGGATATCCGTTATCCAGTTGTCCGCCCACACGTGAGTACTTATACCATCCCCAATCGATTTTAGGAGGCCCTGTTTTAAGAGATCTCTACCATGTATGATGCTTCTCTAAGCATAAGACGGCCTCGTGCCTGTACTGCAATTAAGGAGGTCTGAATTTATATAGTAACGGGCTTTGAGTATACGAGCCAGCAAAGAATCAGGATTGTGCCATATACGCCATGCTTGTTTACCCATGAGAGATTGATTAAGCCGTTGTATGTCATGAATTCCCAGCCCACCATTCTCCTTGTATTTACATAATCTTGTCCAGGCCACCCACATAATTTTTCTGCGCTTATCAACATTACTCCACCAAAATTATGTTAGTACGCTCGTAAGTTTTTCACACAGACCTTTTGGGAGTGTAAACACAGACATCGCGAAAACAGACAGGGCTAGGCTGATTGATTTGATAAGGATTTCTTTTCCTCCTTGCGATAGAGCTCGGGCATACCAACAATGGACATGATTTTGTAGCTTCTCTTGAATAATTTTCAGTAGTTTCCATTTAGAGCCACTGAAACATTCAGGGAGTCCCAAATAAGTGCCTTCACCCCCTTCTTTGTCAATACCAAGGATTTGTTTGACCTCTATTCTTGTATGCTCTAACACTTTCAAACCGAAGATGATCGATGATTTCATATTGTTGATAAGTTGTCCTCAAGCATCTCCATAAATTTTTAAACAGGATATCACTTAGCGAGCTTCTACAGTCGTAGCTCTACACATGAGTAGACTATCATCGGCAAAGAGCAAGTGGTGGACTGACGGGCCATTAGCAGCGATTCTAATGCCATGTAAACGACCTTCATTCTCTGAATAATTGCGACAACTCACAAGGGCTTCAGCACACAAGATAAAGAGAAAAGGAGAAAGAGGGTCCCCTTGTCTTATCCCTCATTCCGGTTTTATGAATTCATGGGTACGACTATTAAGCATAACCATGTAAGAAACAGTGGTGACACACGCCATAACCCATGTAATCCATGTGTGAGGAAACCCCATTTTTTCCATTAGTGTCTCCAAGAAGCACCACTTGACACGATCATATGCTTTGGACATGTCCATAAAATCTTCAGCCACAACAGCATTGGTTCTGAGGCCATGCATCATCTCATGAGCGAGTGTGATATTGTCAGTAATGAGTCTACCCGTGATACAAGAGTTTTGACTCTCTTGTCAATCACCCATTGTACTAGTCAGTTGAAGTATGGGTTTTAATGTCAATCCAATTGTGAATAGTTGAAAACCAAAGAGCTAAGAGTGAAATCTCTAAGTCAAGCAAACAGGAAAAGGTTTTTGTTGCCTAGGCAACTGTTCTAACAACCTAGTGTGATCAATCAACAAAGAAAGTGAAAACAAAAGCAAACTAAGCAGATTTAAGCAAGAAAAACAGAGTAAAACAGAGAAAATCCGAGATTGAAATAAGAGAAAGGGCAGTTCCTAGATGTGGTTATTGACTTTGGGGAATTTCAGACACTAACTAAGGCTGTTCCAAACTACATTGATCAAGCAAGTAAGCAAGCAATGGTGATTCCTAGACATATAGTTCACAATTAAGCTAGCTAGATCCAATCTCTTGGCAAATAGCCCTTTGTTAAACATCTTAACAAGAACTATCTCTCATTAGTGCTAAAACATCAAGCAAGCAATAGTAAACAATTCTATTTAAGTCATAATGCTCCTCAAATAGTCAATCTCTTGAGCCAAGGCCAGCAAATCCTCTATTAAACAAGATCAGCATTTCATCAAACACTTGGTGGGCATAAGAGAAAGCTAACAACCTAGATAAGTTTGATCAAGACTAATCTAGCATGAATAACAGATTAATAAAGAGGAACCCATAAACTGAAGCACTTAACAAGCCCTAATCAAGTCTTAAATTCCACTAATCTACCACATCTAGAAACTCTAAGATAACTACTCACTCATACTCATGTTTAACACCAAATCACAAAGAGAAAGGATGTTAATCATGATTAGAAGAGAGAATAAAGAAAGATTAAAGGCAAATACTCAAATAATTAAACAAAGCAAAGGATTTGTCTTACAAACCTAAAGAAAATGCTTAAAAACAGTAAATTGACAACAAATCCCGAAAATCTGGAAAAAGAGGCTATTTATAGTCTAGAGAAGGAAGTCCTAGAGTAATGGTAAAAGCGTAATTAAAACAGGTTCGGGCTGGGTTAGTATCTGTCCGTTACATCGGTCTTCAGTAATCGATATGGATCCCTATCGGTCCGGAGTGATCGACACATATGACCGAAATTAACTCTTTGTGTTTGTGTCGGTCAGCCTTGACCGATACTGGTGATTGATACTGCTCCGTATCAGTCATCCTTGACCGATGTTCACCATGCTCTGACCGAAAACTTCTGCATAGATTGTCTGCTTTGATCCTTCTTGCTCCCTTTTGCCCAGCTAGCATCCTGGATCATCCCCAAAACTCCTTCAAGCTCCTTTTAGCTCCAAAAGCACCTAAAAACATCCAAAATGCAAAGAAAATGCAAACTATACTCTAAATGCAACATAAGTCTAAAAGGAGAAGAAAATGGGACAAAAGCTAAGGGAAAACATGCAAAAGAGGACCAAAATATGTACTAAATGCAGTCCTAAATGGTGTAAATACAAGGGATATCAACCCGAGACAAAAGCGCCTTGTGTATCCGATATAATCTCAGGAAGAAAAGGTTTCAAGCGGTAACAAAGAATTTTTGAGATTATCTTGTACTAAACAGTACATATGCTTATGGGTCTCATATCCTTCATCAAAGTAGGATTGGGAATCTTTGGGATCAGGCATAGTTGTGTGTGGTTCCATCCTCTCGGTATCACATATGAGATAAATAAGTATTGAATTTCTCTGTAATTCGCGGACCAACAATGTGCCAGTATTTCTGATAGAAAAGCCCACTTAAACCATCCTCTCCCGGGGCACTATGGCTTTTAATGCTAAAGATATCAGTTTTGATCTCCTCAGGCATGATCGGTCTTATCAGGCTAGTATTCATCTCCTCAGTTACCCGTTCATTGAAACCCTGCAAAAGAGATTCCATGTCATAGGAGTTGGAGCTGAGAAACAAATCTTTGAAGTAGTTGCACGCTATAGAACCCTTAGAGTCTTCTTGAAATTGTTCTCGTCCCAACTCATCAATCAGTATCATAATCCGATTTTCTATCCTTTTGCCTTTAATGCTATTGTGGAAATATTTGGTATTCTTATCCCCTGTTTTAAGCATTCCTCTCTGCTTCGCTGTCTCCAGAATATTTCTTCATCTCTATAGGCTTCTTCTAGCGCTCTCTTTCTTTTTCTGATCCGTTCCCCGTTTGGAAATACTTTTCTTACCTCGGCCTCAAGTCTGGCTTTCAACATCTGGATCCTGTCTCTAGAGTTGATGTCCAAGGTTTTCGTTAGCTGAGCCATCTCTCGTCTGCATCTGCCAATACAGTCCATAAGGGTAGTATTATCATAACGACTATCACCATACCATCCCTTTTGGATTGCTTCATCAATGCCCTCAATCTTGGTGAGTCGTTTGTCAAAATAGAATCGACCTCTACTTGGGTCACCTCCCTCCATGGCAAAGCACATACGCAAGGGCCGATGTTCTAAACCCCACAAGTCCATATTTTCAGTCTGTACCCGAGGAAAACTATTGTATCATTCCTCATTCCCAAAGCTCCTATCCAATCTGCATTGTATCCACACTTGATCTCTCCATCCCGCCTAGGAGAATGCATGTCCAGAGCTTCTGATTTCTTCTGATTTCTCTAATTTTGCAGTTTTCTGCCATATTGTGAAAGTCCCAAAAGGTGGATTCGCTGCGCTCTGATCCTCCCAGTTTTTCAGAGTTTTTCATTAATTCATTGAAATCTCCCACTAGATAGTGATCAGGTTTGAAATTAAGAAAATGTGGTTGAATAGGAAGAGGCTTGAAAAAGATTGCAAAGTTGCGCGACTAAGCTGGCGTGGCCAGAGAGCGGATGGTGGCACGGGCTGCAGCAGATGATACAAGAGTTTTGACTCTCTTGGTCAATAACTCATTGTACTAGTCATTGTAGCATTGGGTTTTATTGTTAATCCAAAGGGGAAGATTGAAACAGCAGGATTATAGTAGATTTCCTAATTCAAGCAGGTATGAAAGGGGTTTTAGAATATCTAGCAACCTAAGTGATTAAACAGCAATGAACCAAGCACAAAACAAAAGGTGAAAATCAAGCAAAGCAACTAAAGTAAAGGAAAAACAGGGAAAATCTGAATTCAAGCTAAAAACAGAGAAAAGATGGGTCTTGAGATGAGATAATTAGTGTGAGGGAACTCTTGACTCAATCTAAGATGCTTACAAACTCACACAATACTATTCCTTATGCATATGATTCATTTATATGACTAATCCAATCTCTTGGTACTAATCTCTTTGCTAATTACCATGTCAAGAACTAATTCTCTTTAGTGAAATGATAATGAGCAAGCATTAAGACAAATCTATCAATCCTATATTGCCAAATCACTCCTTAGACAGTCAATCTCTTGAGCTAGGATAAGCAATTCTCTTGCAAAGCAGTTCAGGCATTTCATCAAATACTTGGTGGGCATAAAATGAGCTTATGATCTTAATCAACTTAGCTAGGGCTAATTAAGCATTAAACAGAGCAATCAAGAAAGGAAATGAAAGAATTAACGCTAAGCAATCATAGATAGTGTCTCAAATTCCCTAAACCTAACCCATCTCAAATCCCTAAAAAGGACTACTCACTAAGCACCATTAAAACCATCAATTCAAAGAGAGCTTAAACAAGATGAAAGATGCAAACTTTAATTGAAATCAAGCAAAGATTCAAATTACAAAACCCAAAGGTCTGAACAAGGTTGAAAGAACTGCTGGATAAAAGCTTGTTACCAAAAATTAGGGACTTTTCGTATTTATAGGAGTCCAAGCAAAAATGGCAAAATTGTAAATAAATGGTCTTCAGTCTGGGATCATATCGATCAGTTGTAACGGTCTGGGCTTGATCGTTACGAATCATATTGATAACAGGTTTCTTATGGAGCAATGATGTGTCAAGATGCAACAGAGAGGTTATCAAAGCTCTAATGCACACAGAGATGTAGTATAGTGAGCAAGAGAGGTATCAATCCACACCTAGGGGTAGCAAGTTCACTAAGAATGCAAGGGAATGAGCAAATCTAAGCAGAATATGAAAATGATTGGTAAAATCCCTAAAAACTAGATGCAATGATTAAATGCAAAGCAAAACAATTTTAAAATCCCTGGAAGAGGGTTAACTACCACGGGGAACAAGCGGAATAATAAAAATGCAAGGCTACGAATTATTAAAAATCGAGTAGTGGATCGACCACATGATCGACCACTAGATCGAGCAACAACGATCGATCTACTAAACTGTTTCAAACAGAAATGAATCTAATGACCAGGATGCGAACAAATAGCAAGCAAATGATTAACAGAGATGTGAAAATACTAAGAAAGAGGGTCCAGGGTTGAGGATCATGTTCAAGGGTTTCAAAGGTTCAAGCTTGGTTTGAAAACTTTAGATCTACTCACTTTGTGAGGTTCTCTAGGCCTTGAAAACAAAAAAAGATCCATCCATGGCGTGTGGTATGGATAACTCCTTCATTCTCTTCTCCAAACCCATGGCGTTTGGTGGAAAAAGAGATTGAAGGGCATAAAACATAGATTTCAAACTAACGACCTAACTAATTCCTTAAACAACCATGGCGTGTGGGAAAGGAAGGATTAGCCTCTAGGATCTGATTTTCCAGGACATCTGAATCCTGTCAAGGTAAGACATCCCTTAGATCGTAGAGATCATGGCGTGAGACTCTTTAAGCCTTAAATACTCAAGATCCTAGAAGAGAAGGTAATGAAGAACAAGAAAACACCAAGCTTTAAACCATTTCAACCCCTTTGAATCCTCTCAACCCCGAAAACCCAACCAAACTACTCACTACTCATAAAGGAAACCGAACAAAACGCAATAGATGATCGACTAAACATGAAAAATGAGTGATTAGAAGCAAAGATTCAATATTCAAAACGTAAAAGCAAGAAAAGCTTCGAAGTCTACAATGGTGGAATCGCCTAAGCAAAGAGATAACAAAGAAAAAGACAGAATGGAGGTTGGAAAAAGTTGTCGCCGCCTTTAGAAAAAATTGGTTAAAGGCGTGTACTGGTCCCCCCTTCGCTAGCGTCCAAGAACAGGCTGGATGGATAAGGTAAGTCTGGGATTGGGCAGGGAGCTCGATCTGGCACTCGATCTTCGGCTTGGATCGGGTGACTTTGCTCGATCTCTGAGTCGATCTCATCTGGATCGAGTCAGAGGCTCGATCTAGTTTTTGATCTGCATGGCGTCATTTACGTCCGTACTTCAGATCGATCTCCTATCTCGATCTTGGTCTCCATCTTTTGGTCGATATCCTCTAGATCGACCTGCCTTGCTCGATCTGCTACTCGATCTCGGGTCCTTAGCATGCAATCCTGAGTTCTCCGATTGTCCACGCACTTCCTCACGAGCCTTAGCACGTCCACGAATCTTCCATAGCTCCAAAGTAGCCAAAAAAAACCTGAATACGATGCAAAATGCAAGAAACATGTAAATGATGGTGCAAAAGAGCTCTAGGACCTAAAGTGATGCAAACTAGCCTAAAGTGCAAGGTAAATGCATGAGACACTATCTTATATGTATGCAAAAGACACGAAATATACAGCAATATCAACTCCCCCAAACTTGCCTTTTGCTTGCCCTCAGGCAAACAAAATTCAAGAAAGGAGAGAAGTTTTAAAAACGGGGGTTTAAGCTTCTTGCAAAGGTGCTTTTCAAACGAATCAATCTCAATGTCCTAGTTCCTAATTCTAAGATGCAATGCACACACTCATACTCCAAAGAACTTAGCCATACTCATCACACAATGAATTTCAAATCATGACTCTCCTATTCCAAACAATCAAAGAATATAATCCTTAAACATTCATTAATGATCAAACCGCGAATCAACCTTATGCACTTTAAAGCAGAACATATTTGGTTAAGGGCAAAGGCTATAAGCATATGATGATCTCATTTAAATGGGTTTCACAATGCAAAGGGTTTCTCTCAAGAATGGTATGAACTTTATGCATAATGCTAAAGGTAAAGGCAATTGGTGCATACATGATCAGATTCTCATCTACCCATACACGCTAATCAATCATCCTAAGACCCCTCTCATTTCTTTTTCTTTTAAGCTCACACACCCTCTTAGAGTCTACCCTTATCACACACCCTCTTAGAGTCTACCCTTATCCCCAAAGCAATAGCTTAGCAAATCACTAGCTTACTCTTTAGGCTAGTGAAAAGGCTGAAATTTTTTAGTTCTTTACTTTTTTTTTTTCTTATTGATAGCTCTCTACTCTTTCTTTATTTTTTTTTTTCTTTTCTTTTCTTTTTATTTGGCACTTAGGCTCTTTTCTTTTCTTTTATCTTTTTCTTTTACTTGAGAGCTATCTTCTGAAATACTTAGAGCTTTTTATTTTTGAAAACAAAGCCTTTCACTTAAAACCTTTTATTCACTTCAATCACCAAAACGTTTTGAAACCGAAAGCATATAAACAACTCTTACGAACCCCAAACATATCCTAAGCCTAAAACTAGCTTCAAAATGCAAAGCTACCAATCAAATGAGAACCTAATCATGTCGCCTAAACGTAACGCGTTATGCTAAGTTCAAACCGAAAAGAGGCCTCACAATGATGTCACACAAGAATACTTGAAAGAAAGGTAAGGGTAATGGTGGGAGTTCTACTTAGGCTCACAAAGAGTGGTAAAAGGAGGAAGAGAGCCTATATATGTATAAGATCCATGTGTTCATTTTCAAATGCATAAGAATGATATTTAAAAATCAGATTAGGGTTCTCACTTATTAGGACAAGTTTCAAATCATGAATGTTCAAGTCAAGCCACGAAAATCAAAACAAGTGATCCAAGCATGGTAAGGACTTACTTTCAAAGCGTGAGCAAAGCATCAAACAACTACTAACTAGGGCATTAAAACAATTTATAAAAAACCTTTTCAAGAAAACTTTAACCCCTTATGCAAATGTAAACAACCTAGATGCTTAAAAATTCTAGATTCAATCCTAAAATGTTTACAAAGTGAATGCAACTACATTAATTTTTTTTGAAAATTTTTAAAAATTTTACCAATTTTTTTTTTGTTCTTTTCTATGCCTTAGATGCAATGAAATGTAATGCAAAACTCAAATGATGCAAATAGACAATAAGAGCAAAATAAACATGTCAAATAACACACACACTCCCCCAAACTTGAATGACACCGTCTCGGTGGCAAACAAATTTGAGAGAGTTCACAAAACACTAAGCAAAAAACAAAGAAAATATGAGCGGTATATACAAGGGAAGGTTGTTGGTACCTCTGATCTAGTCTCGGCTAGAACTTGAGGATGTTCCAGACGAGCTAGATGATATGGCTTTGCCTTTGGACACTGGCTCTTGGAGGGAAAGACGCGCCGGCTGGATGTTGCTTGCTTGAGTTTCACAGATGACAACTCCACCGGTTGAAAGCCTCCTCTTCTCCGGTTGGTGAACCTCTTCACTTGCAGCCTTCTTTGGCGAAGCCCCTTGAAGCGCCTTGACTTTCTTGGCAAGCTTCTTGATGACCTTACTTTGCCATTTGTTGATCGTCCTTTGCATCTCTGATATTGCTGCATGTTTCATGTATTTTGCATACATAATAGTTAGTTTCTCATGCATTTACCTTGCACTTTAGGCTAGGTTGCATCACTTTAGGTCCTAGAGTATTCTTGCACCAGCATATGCATGTTTCTTGCATTTTGCACTATATTCAGGTTGTTTTCGGCT